TAGCGTCACAAGTCGGGGGCCGCCTGTATTGTTCTAACAGAAAGGACAATGAAAATAGGAATAATACAATTTTACAGTTACATATATACTAGTACTTAGGTAAGGATGCAACTATAAACTAGTCATTGTTTTGTATTTAAAGCCCCCTCCTAATTTGAGGCCCTAAACTATCCCTTACTTAGCTTGTGCATAAATCCGGCACTCCTTGTAGATATTGGCAATCCACAAACTGCCCCTCACGTTTTCAACAGTGGAATAATTCACAAAGTCACTGTGGGTATGTCTAGACAACATGCCTCTGGCGACAGAGGCAGGTAGATTAGGCTATCTGGCATATGAAAATGAAACGGCGATTTAAATAATCACCGCTTCATTTAAATGTAAATGGCTGCCGCATTGAGCTGATCAGCTGTTTGTCAGCTCAGCATGCTAGTCTGGACGCTCCGTGGTCGACATCAAAACCCTTTGTCGACCTCCCAGTTATGCCTCCTGGGATGAGGTTTACCTGGGAGGTCAACAAATGCCTTTGATGTCGACCGCGGAGCATCCATACTACCATGCTGCACCAACAAACAGCTGATCGGCTCAGCGTGGCAGCCATTTAAATTTTTTTAAATCGCCGCTTCATGTTCCTATGCCGGGTAGCCTAATCTACATGCCTCTGTCACCAGAGGCATGTAGTCTAGACGTACCCTGTGTCAGAGACCATTCCTGGGCTTCTGTGGTAGCACCCCAAAAGGATTAAATCCGATCCAGTGACTGTGTCAAGCTGCCCATTAACATCTAGAGCCTTTGGTCAGTCAAAGTATAACACTACACCTTGGCTCATGATGGGGAAAGCCCCTTTACAAAGAGGCTTCCCACTGGTAATTCACCTCTCCTGTTGTCATCATCAAGTCTGGTCAAGACACAACCGGCATCAGTCTGCAGGAGGGCAGGGTGGTAGAGGAGGAGGAGGAGGAGGAGGAGGCTAGCCATGTGACCATGGCTTCTATCCAGGAGTTGCTCCTGACCTTGGAGCCAGTCACCCACTCCCAGGACATCTCCCAGGCTTCCAGCTTAGGCAGAGCCAGACCATCAAAGAAGGACCAGTTAAAACATGGGAGAGAGCTGGAAAAGGGTGTTTCTATCTGCAGATCCCACTCAGTTGGGTAGATGGAGAGGGAGGTGGAGGATGCATCAAGCTCACAGCTGTCTCAGCTGTGAAGAAAAGATCAAAGGCCAGTCATCTGAGGAGATACTGTGTATGAAGCAGAGCCGACCTCCAAGCCGACGCAGAAGGTCTCAATCCAGACAATGGCGATGTGCTTCGAGCAAGGCCACATGTTGCCTAGACAGCAGGCACTTTCCAGCAAAGGCACAGATGTCCCAGGGGAGCACTGCAACACCCACAGTCTGGGGACTAGCTGGCATGGGAAGGTTCCAGCTAGGTCAAGAGCTTGTGGATGGGAACGGGGATAGGGCGGTTCAGTTTCCTTCTGTGTCCCACACACTCTGGGTCTGGCAATAGCAGCATCCCACAGAGAGAGAACTTCTATCCCTGCCCACTGGTGGAGGTGGGGGGAGGAGGGAAGAAGGGAGGGATAGGGGAAGTGTAAGTGAAAGGAAGATGCTGGTTGAAAGAGAGAATGCTAATGGGTTCTTCTCCTCTTCCTCCTCGCAGCAGGTTCCCATGCATGAGATCAGTCTCTTCCATGTCATAGTGCTTGATCAGGAGCTGTCATAACCAGGAGAACTGACCAGCACCAGGGGCTAAGGGATTAACTAATGTCTTCAGCATGTAGGCAGGTATCGGGTGGTCAGCCAATAACAATGCAGGTGAGAATTTCATACCGGGGTAGGAGTTTTTATCTTCCCCTCCTTTGTCTGAAAAGCTGAGCAGTTCCTTCCAAT